TGACAAGTAGAATTGTTATCGCAAGGGTTATCAACACAAGCACTCTGAAGCGAAAATAATATCATACATTGAAACATGAATAAAATGGAAAACGAGCAGCATTTAAACCAACAATAATGATAATGCTAAAGATAGAAATATTGACAGTGATATTAGAATTCAAGCAACAATTACAACGATTACGACCGGAAACTAGTTTTTTCTTTCACTTGAAATTAGTATTTGCTAATGATGCAACACCTACCTCAGCTGCATGATAAAAATAATCGTCTTTCATCTCCAGGTCGTGTTCGTGTCTTTCGTGAGTAACATTATTCAGTTCACATTTGTAGCCTCCATGACCACTCACTTGTTTATGAACATTAATGCTGACACATTCAGGCTCCATATAACACATGTTGTCACAAAAACTCATTGTCAGAACTTCAACGATGCGAATGACGTGGTTTATGAGACGTTTACCGTCAAATGCTTTTTCAGGGGTAAACTCCAACACGCGGCATTGGTCTGCGTCACAAAAGCCTTTAAGATTCATAAAAAAAACATGAAAGAAGGAAAGCACTAGAAAAAGAGATGGCCATAAGGGACGTCAAAATGATGATAACAATTGAGGATTTACTGATAGTTTCTCCGTTGGAATATATTCATTTCAATTCATCCATCATTTGCTTCCCTTTTTCATCTAGATGAATACCTTTCTAGATAAATTACAGACAATTATCCGTACTGCCATCCGCAGGAAACTTGCAGATGGCAATTAATTTCCACAAAAATGCACATATTTAAGTAAGAAGATTTTCCATTGAAAAAATTCCCCAAAAATAAACAGCAGTAAATTTTCTCAGTAACGAGGAAGTTCGCCGGTTTTGATTTGTAGAGCGGACTAAATTGTTGAAGAAATCCATAAATGAACCAGATTAATGAACAAAGAACGTTTGCAAAGAGCTTGTCATTGCAGAAGATCTTTATTGCAAAACGTGTTTCTCTCCCGAAAAAAATTACTCCTCAAAAGCTACATATCTAACAGGAATCGCAAGTTTCTTGATCTTCCCTGACGTTAGGAGTCATTCACTGGAGAAAAATTTAACCACAACTGAGGCAAAAATCCAACTTTACCAGCGCAATAAACACAAAAACAACTCCAGCCGACACAAATAAGAAGACTGAGCGGCATAACAAAAGACTAAGAAGACAATAAAATTTTTACATGTTCGAAAACAAAATACAAAAAAAATAATAAATTGATAAAGAAGTGATAGAGAGGTAGGAAACATTACAATATATCAACTTGGATGACGAGCTCGATAAAAGAAAGAATTAATTAAGAAAAAAGCCACAACAAAACAAAAAGGAGAAAAGAAAACCATACGCAGTTAAATTCACATAAAGGTACTCAAACAAACTATCTGCGAAATTATCTTTTCATTACCAATAATTTATTTGGTTAAGAAGTTTAAGAAAGTGTTAAGCTATCTTTAAACATTTTTTCCATTGTGGAGATGAATAACAAAACTTCCTTAAAACATATAACATGCAGGTGTTAAACGGTTACTGTGACTATGAAGGACTAATGTCTCTTCTCTACGTAAATGAGTAATGGTGAGGCTCACCTTGTGATGAGACATAAGCAAGTATCATGAAGCACGAAAGTAACAGAACAAAGATAAAAATCGACTTCTTCATCGCGCGGATCGCCAGGTTTCCGCGACCGACTTCTGGAATTATGCGCAAATTGATGCGAAAAACTTATTTGAATTGTTTTTGTTATGGTAAAAAATTTTTTTTTTTTTTTTAAACAATGAGACTTGGGTGTTTCCTTACGGTTTTTCGTTTTAATTTGATATCTTTGACCCTTGTTCCAGCACGAAAACAATTCACTGGATGAAAATAAATTAACTTTCACGAAGCCTCTCGACGGGTTATCTAATAATCAATCGTTCGGACGTGACAGCGGTTTAAGTCTAAAAATCGGTATTCATATTCTTAGCAAGAAGCTAAACAGAAAATATAAATGCTTCTGATGCTTTACTTGGCTTCATTGGTAGAAATAGGAGTGAGTAATTTTGCCCTTATTAGGCCCAAAATCGTCTTCGTCCCTGCAACAAATTGTTGAAAACTAGAGTACCTGGAGCATTTAACGACAAATAGTAATGAATATTTCAGAAACTTTTTTCCACTTTTTCCACAAATGAGTATTTGCTAATGATGCAACACCTATGTCAGCTGGATGATAAAAATAATGGTCCTTCTTATTTGTCTTTCTTCACTCATTTATCAAGATTAATGCTGACACAGTCAGGTTCCACAAACACATGCTGTCACAAAAATCCATTGACATGACTTCAAAGATGCGAATCATGTAGTTTATAAAACGTCTTCCATCAAATGCTTTTTCAGGCGTAAAATTTCAACAATTTATCAACATTGGTCTGGGTGAAAAGAGTCTTAGAAATTTAGAAGGAAAAAAAATATACATATATATATATAGGAAGTCTGTGTATTGATTTTTCCGTTTACAGTGCTTGATACGTAGAAGTAGTGCGCGATATATGTTGCGATAGTGGAAAAAAACAGAGAGACTATGCTTTAATCCCTACAAGCCTGTTTCGTGATTGCGCACTAATCAGGGGATTTTATTGTTAAGAATATTCGTACCATCGTTTATATACTCTATAAATTTGCCTAAAGATGATACTTCAATTGTTACGCAGTAACGTTTTGTTTCTGAGGCGGCATGAGAATATTGTCCATACTGTTTTCTATATATTTCCTAAAGTGCTGACAAGGAGAATATGTTTAACAATCAAGAGCTTCTTTAGTTGGTGATTAGTTCCTATACTGTCATGACCTTGATGTGTGATACAGGGGTATCAGTTTAACATAACATCAGCGTCTATTTTTTCAAAGCGTTCAACAGATCTTTTGTGAGTCTCGCTGCTCGATAACCTATCCAGTACCTTTTCATGCTTGAAACAACTTCCGCGATTTGTTTATCGCGACTGCCTGCATCGTCGAAGCATATAATGAATTAATTTTGCCGACAAAGAATGTTGCTTTTAAAACAGAATAGAAATTAACCCTTTACACCCCAACATCAGTATTAATATTCTCCATACTGTTCTCTATATATTTCCTGAAGGTCTGACAAGGAGAATTTGTTTAACAATCAAGAGCTTCTTTAGTTGGTGATTATTTCCTTTATTCTCGTGACCTTGATGTGTGATACAGGGGTGATATCGTGAGGAGAAATTAGATGCTAATCACTCTAAGGAGTTAAAGGGTTAAGATTCAAGCATTTGCCCCTCAACAAAGTTGTCTCAGGTTCTGAGATTTTCAACTTTTCATTCTAACATGGAAAACAAATCCATCCTTCCTGAAGATAAAATATCTTAACCAAAATAGCAAAAGAAAAAGTAAACTGGTTCTCTGAATTAATTAACACTTTGCACCCAAACATATATACTCATGTTCTCCAAACTTTTCTGTTTACGTTTCCTATGGAGATGTCGGGTAAATTTAATAATTAAGATTTTCCTGAGTTGTTTATTACAATGTTTGATTCAGGGGTGATAATGTTTTTTGTATGATCTCCTTTTCGCGTATCTGAGAGTTTCGCTCCATTCTAAGTTCGCCACGCTACTAACTTTCCGAGTTCAGGCAGATCTTGGAATTTTCTGCAAACAGCGTATAATAATGTTCATCCAGATAAAGATCAGAATAATGTAGCGGTCTAGTATCACTATCCTGTTCTAAGCGTTCTGCCATTAAAACGAAGTGCTATACTAAGCCTCGGTACGGTAGCAGTAGCTACCAAAAGACTGAAGAAAGGCAAAAAATGGTTGTACGGGATCAAATAGGTTCTGATAGATAAAGTTACCATCCTTTTGAAACAAGGTCACGAAATTGCCAAATTTGGCGGCCTGTCGAGGATAAGGATACCAATGACTAACTTCATCAAGCTAGTTCTATGATGAATATTGCAATTTTGGATTCCCTTTTTTTTTTTTTTTTGTATCAGCAGACATCTGCGTCTGCGAAAAGAGACAACTGAAAAGGTGTGAGGAGACACCATCCCATGAACAGTTTAGCCGAAGAGTGGTGTTAGTGTAACCTCTGTTTCCATAGAATCGTAAAATCTAAAAATCGCGAGCTAAAAGTGTAACTAAAGACATAAAAAGATAGTTTGGTGGGGCACTCTTCTTCATCTTGTTTTAAAATTATCATTAATTCCTGATTTTATCTCTTCCAGCTGAACTTTAAACCAAATAGGACCGATTTACGCATATCGAGTGGAAAAGCCGGTGACATCACGAGATGAGATCGTACCGATCCTTTTAAGTCAACTTTTCGAATTTAACGAAGAATATCTGTCATGACCTCGGGAAACATTCCGGAAAGAAATCCGTTCGAATGGTGAGCTAATAATCATCTTGTTAATATTAGTATCGTATTTTAACTTAGAGAATGACGTCTGGAACAAATGGTACACAAAAATTTCGTCATTTCTGGTGAAAGCGAGAAAGGCAAGCAATACTTCGGGAGGGTATTACTTTTGCATTCTGTTAGTTCTCATATCTGAGCTAATTATTTACAACAAAAATTGTTAACGCCCGCGGGTTCCTAGTTACTTTGTAGAACTGACGTCCTTTTTCATGTTTTTCACTCGAGCTGAAAGATGCACGAGGCGAGCGTAAAGAACAATACGCGTGGGAAAGAAAAAAACAAAAAGAACATAAAAGAAGTCACATTTTCTTCTTTTCTGTGTTACACTTCCTTGATTCGCTCACACTTAACGACGTGGACGTGTCATAAACATCGAATATGGCTTCTTTGCCAATATTTACTTCGTCAACAAATCCTGAATTGGCTTTGCGCATATGAAATGCTTTGAATTTCATTGAAAAAATTATATTAGAGACAAAGCTAACCAGAGAAGAATATAAGGTTAAACTCGTTGCTTTATTAGCCTTTAAGGTTTTAGGACACTACATTTTCTTCTTCATGATGGCCTCTCGGCTTAAAATTTGGGAAGTTGGGCTGGGTTTCCTGTCACTGTACTAGGATGTAACCCATGGCTTTGATGTGCTTCTTTCCATTATCTGGCGAGTGCGTTGCCTGATTTCCACACGTGTTGGAATCATCATATCGACCTCCTGTGCCAAAACCAATTCGTGAGTTACAGGAGGAACAGTCATTCTGCTGGTTAGCAATGATGCCGATTCTTGCTTTGGAATAACGAGGGTTGCTTCCCACTGCATTGAATCCTTCCTTACTGCAGTTGAGCTGCAAGGAAGCCCGTGGACCAACCAGCGACTTCCACGTGTTACGACCCAGTGAGGTGGCACGGTATTTCCCATCAGCGATCAGTGAGAACAGTGAGTTGGCGTGCCTGTGGATGACAATGAACCTGAGCTGATGATCAATCTTCATACCGAGGCAGATCTTGGAGAAGGGTGTGTTCCAGTAGGTCGGTAACTTTGTCTCTTGTAAGTCAAAGCCAGTCTTGCCTCCTGGAAGGTTGTAAGCACTTCTGTTGCTCCAGAACTGGGAATTGTAATGAAATGTACTCTGAAATATATAAAAAGAATAAAATTTGTATTTCTTGAATTCCCCGCACCCAAAAAACTGACAACCAGAAATGCGGTGCGGGATAAGCAGACAATTCTTAGCCTATTTATTGAACTAACCAACTAATCACAAGACAAAAACAACTGTTTACACTGTTTAGACACCAAAAAAAATAAGCAAACTCTATACGTTCGACGCGGCCAAAGTAAATTGAATAAGCAAAACCACTTATAATGACTGTCAATCATCAGGAAAGCACAACTAAAAATCGTTACGAGGAAATGGATTACAGGATTCCAACCAAAAAATAAAAAAGAACAAAATTTAAATGTCCGCTTGTAAAAATCCACAATGAAACTTGTTTACTGTTCAGCGAATATATACTTGCTAGTTTACATATCACACTTCTTTCCCATAATCTCACGCCGGCACTTAAAACACACTGCCGAAAAATACACTCGTGCTCGGGAATTCAAGAAACCATTTATCTTTTGTTTCATTACGCTTCGCTACATTCAGGCAAAGATAAATGAACAATTCGTTTTCAATAAGATCTCAGTGATAGCATGTTCCAGGCTCCTGCTCAGTGAAGACAAACGAGCGACTCGTGACGACCCTTGATGTTTCATCAGAGAAGAAGCCGCAGATTTTGCCCATCCCCTTTGTCCCTTCTCTCCACTGTCCTTTCTCCACAATGGATTTCTTCGCGGATAAATTGTTACCTTATTGCCATTAATCTTCATGATCGGCGTCCATCCTCCATCTCCACATCCAAAGTCTCCCATGTGACAGAAAACAGAAATTGGCTTTGAGTCTGAGTGCAGGGTAACCTCACCGCTCTTGATCGATCTACTCAATAAAAAATAGAATAAGAGAGGTGGTAAGTTTTGAGCTCATCATTCTTATTCTGTTCACAAAACATGACGCTATCTACATTGCTAATCCTAGCAGTATGCAGGACGCGTGTAATATGAACTTCGTAATAGACCTCGCTCATCGTAGAGACTCTGTGGTTTGGTGGTAGAGCATCGAAGTACGGAATCTGAGGGTCTGAGGTTCGATTCCTCATGAGGACTCAGAATTTTTTTTCCCACGCTCATGACCCGACGAAAAACATATTTCTATAAAAAAAATAATCTTCTTAAAAGGAGAGAATCAGTTAAAAACTTGATAAGGGCCCACGCTTTCATACATTCTGACACAAAGTACTTTTCGATGAGGCGATCCTTTCAAGGGAGAAGCTAATGTGGAAGTTTATGATCAAGGTTGCTATGCTTAGCGCAATATTAGTTTCAGGATTATTATTATTCGTAGTACTGTTATTTTCGTATTCTCCTATTAAATTCTGCTCTGTTTTTGTCAGTGAATAATTGACTTACACATTCCGGTCGAAAATTTCCTTACACGTTAAAGCTGAAAAAAAGAAAAACATCTAACCAGCAATAATCCTTTAAAGTGTTTTAAAATGCTCTAAGGTGAAAGTTTACATCTAGACTGGTACATATCTAATGTTCAAGTCCAAGTTCAAAGTGTAATTGGTGGCCAATTAGGGAGAAATAACAGATAAGAATCATACATTATTACGAAAGTTATCAACTCCTTTCATTTGTGATATTCTCCATGGGTTTTTGGTGAGCTTTGTAATTAGTCCAGACACTAAATACGTGAAACGGATCGAAGTACTTGCGACCTCGTCACTCGTGTTTTCGTGGCTTGCATTGTTAGCGGTGTCTAATGCGCTAGATGAAAATAAAAGCAGCGGAGCCGCTAATTTAAGTAGCATTTCAAACCACAACGGCCTCGCCGTTTTCACTCAAGCCGCTCGATGCTTCAAATGCACACCATAAGACTGCTATCTACGCAGGCAAGCGTTTTCACGTCCATAAAGAAGTTAGCTTGTTTTTAGTTTGAATTCTCGGTAGTTTCTAACAAGGCATTTGTCGAAGTTTTTATCGATTTGCTATATGTACCCACATCTCGATATACATAATTATTATAACCGAACTTCTCATTACAGTAGTCTAAACAGACAGAAACAGTACAAAAACTAGTTTAAGAAATACAGCAGGAGAAATGTTACCCAAACGGCACATATTTCCATCTCCATAGTATCCTTCTTTGCATGTACAGTTGTACGATCCCATAGTATTGTTGCACACAGCATCAGCACTGCAGCTCGTTGTTCCTGTAGAACACTCGTCGATATCTGAAAAGACTCTCCTTTAATTAGAACGTCATCATGCTATTCATTTTAAAACTGATGCAAATTTAAAACTAAAGAGTAAAAACAAATGAAGACCCACGTTGGATCCGATGTCTCGAGAGTTTTGCCGTTTTCCTGCAGTTCTCTTGGTCATGCAGGAGTAGCATCAACCCATTTGGGTATGAATTATTGTGCGCAATTATAATATACCGGATCTAAACTTTTACAAGTACATTCAGAAGTTGTCCCTTTTTCAAACCCACCATTTTTATAAAGTTTATTACTTTTAAAAATACACAGTTGTCCGCCGCTTTGTTTGATGATACCAATAAGAAACAACATACATTTACATTTATCAGTATCCAGTTAATTATAATTAGTATCACGAAACAAGGCTCTGTTTTACCATTGCAAGTCCGTCCATCCCCGTTAAATCCTGGTTTGCATTTGCAGCGATACGATCCCTCGGTATTGTTGCACATAGCATCAGCACTGCACTTGGATGTTCCGTCAGCGCACTCGTTTATATCTGTAAAGTTCATGGCAACCGATTCAATAGGGAAAATCCCTAAACACATGACCAATTTAATCATTTTAAGGGTTGAGATGTGTGTGTTTAGTTTCCATTCCCTTGTTCGTTAAAATAAAATCAGGGCTTTGGTCACGTTTATCTTTACAACCATCTCTAGAATATCCAGGTTTATTTGGACAGTTATAGGAACCTTTGGTATTATTGCAAACAGCATTTTTACTGCAGTCTTGTGTTCCTGTAGCACACTCATCGATATCTCAAAATACTCTTCTTTAATTAGAACGTCATAGGTACAGGTACCTTCAGAAGTTGTGTATAAAACTGTAGTGAACACGAGCTTACGACCGGTTTGGCATGACAGGGGTTACCTTTCTTACACCTTGGACCTTTGAATCCAGTGGTACACAAACAGCGATATCCTTTGTCAGTAAAACCGCTTTGACAAGTAGAATTGTTATCGCAAGGGTTATCGACACAAGCGCTCTGAAGCGGAAATAATATCATACATTGAAATATTAATAAAATGGGAAACGAGCAGCATTTAAACTAATAATAATGATAATGCTAAAGATAGAAATATTGACAGTGATATTAGAATTCAAGCAACAATTACAACGATTACGACCGGAAACTAGTTTTTTCTTTCACTTGAAATGAGTATTTGCTAATGATGCAACACCTACCTCAGCTGCATGATAAAAATAATCGTCTTTCTTCTCCAGGTCGTGTTCGTGTCTTTCGTGAGTAACATTATTCAGTTCACATTTGTAGCCTCCATGACCACTCACTTGTTTATGAACATTAATGCTGACACAGTCAGGTTCCATATAACACATGTTGTCACAAAAACTCATTGTCAGAACTTCAACGATGCGAATGACGTGGTTTATGAGACGTTTACCGTCAAATGCTTTTTCAGGAGTAAACTCCAACACGCGGCATTGGTCTGCGTCACAAAAGCCTTTAAGATTTATAAAAAAACATGAAAGAAGGAAAGCACTAGAAAAAGAGATGGTCATAAGGGACGTCAAAATGATGATAAAAATTGAGGATTTACTGATAGTTTCTCTGTTGGAATATATTCATTTTAATTCATCCATCCATTTGCCTCCCCTTTTTATCATATATTTTAGTTTCTAGATGAATACCTTTCTAGATAAATTACAAACAATTATCCGTTCTGACATCCGCAGGAAACTTGCAGATGGCAATTAATTTCCACAAAAAATGCACATATTTAAGTAAGTAGATTTTCCATTCGAAAATTCCCCAAAAATAAAAAAAAAGTAAATTTTCTCAGTAAAGACAAAGTTCGCCGATTTGAATTTGTAAAGTGGACTGAATCGTTGAAGAAATCCACAAATGAACCAGATCAACGAACAAAGCACGTTTGCAAAGAGCTTGTCATTGCAGAAGATCTTTATTGCAAACGTCTTCTACCTCCGAATAAATTATTCCTCAAAAGCTACATATCTAGCAGGAATCGCAAATTTCTCGATATACTCCCTGACGTTGAGAGTTATTTACTGGAGAAAGATTAGATCACAACTGGGGCGAAAATCCAACTTTATCAGCGCAATAAACACAAAAGCAACTCCAGCCGACACAAATAGGAAGACTGAGCGGCATAACAAAAGACTAAGAAGACAATAAAATTTACGAGTGTGAACTTTTTACATGTTCGAATACAAAATACAAAAAAAATTAATAAATTGATAAAGAAGTGATAAAGAGGTAGGAAATATTACAATATATCAACTTGGATGATGAGCTCGATAAAAAAAATGATTAATTAAGAAAAAAACCACAAAAAAACAAAAAGGAGAAATGAAAACCATTCGCAATTAAATTCACATAAAGGTACTCAAACAAACTATCTGCGAAAGTATCTTTTCATCACCAGTAAATTATTTGGTTAAGAAGTTTAAGAACGTGTTAAGCTATCTTTAAACATTTTTGCTATTGTGCAAATTGCAGGTGTTAAACGGTTACTATGATTATGAAGGACTAATGTCCCTTCTCTATTCCCGATCATAAATGAGTAATGGTGAGGCTAACCTTGTGATGAGACATAAGCAAGTATCATGAGGCACAACAGTAACAGAAAAAAGATAAAAATCGACTTCTTCATCGCGCGGATCGCCAGGTTTCCGCGACTGACTTCTGGAATTATGCGCACATTGATGCGGCATGAAAATTTTGTCCATACTGTTCTCTATATATTTCCTGAAGTGCTGACAAGGAGAATATGTTTAACAATCAAGAGCGTCTTTAGTTGGTGATTATTTCCTTTATTCTCATAACCTTGATGTGTGATACAGGGGTGATATCGTGAGGAGAAATTAGATGCTAATCACTCTAAGGGGTTGAAGGGTTAAGATTCAAGCATTTGCCCTTCAACAAAGTTGTCTCAAGTTCTGAGATTTTCAACTTTTCATTCTAACATGGAAAACAAATCCATCCTTCCTGAAGATAAAATTTCTTAACCAAAATACCAAAAGAAAAAGTAAACTGGTTCTCTGAATTAATTAACACTTTGCACCCAAACGTAAATACTCATGTTCTCCAAACTTTTCTGTTTACATTTCCTATGGAGATGTCAGGGAAAATTTGACAATTAAGGTTTTCTTAAGTTGTTTGCTACAATGTTTGATTCAGTGGAGAGAAATTGAGAGAAATGTTGCTTGTCACTCTTAGCGGCAAAGGGTTTAGTGTATTAATCGGTTGAAGCCTATTTAAATCTACATTTCAGTGTTTTTAAGAGTAAATTCGGTTTGTTTCTTTTTTGTATGATCTCCTTTCCAAGTATCTGAGAGTCTCGCTCCATTCTAAGTTCGCTCCGCTACTAACTTTCCGAGTTCAGACAGATCTTAGAATTTTCTGCAAACAGCATATAATAATGTCCATCCAGATAAAGATCAGAATAATGTAGCGGCTTAACATCACTATCCTGCTCCAAGCGTTCTGCCATTAAAACGAAGTGCTATACTAAACCGCGCTGAGGTAGCAGAGGAGCGAAAAAAAATACGAGGAGGTTTTGGGTCGAGTGCGTAATGACCCATCCCGACCCAAGCCTCCTACTATAGCGCCGTTTGCCATTTCGCTCGGTTTTACCAACTGAAAGCCTGGAACTGGCTAAGCATGACTCATGCGGTAGTCGCACATTAAGTAACACGCCTAAAAATTTGCAGGTTGATAAACACTTTTATCGAGATAACTCAATTGTAAATTGATTATTTCAAATATGTTAATTTTACGGTTAAATACGGCTCAACCAGCAAAAAAATGTGTAAATTCTGATGAATTATATTGTAAAAACTGGACCACTGTAACAAAACCTTCCATATCATCATCATCATCATTTCGGTTTTAATTGCTGTTAAAATCAAATAAATGTTGCAAAAGAGAGCTTAAACGGTTCAACCATTTCAAAGCCATTTTACTAAAACAATTTATTTCACGGGTAGTGTTTGATTGACAGTTACTGTTATTGTAATACGAATCTGTAGTCAGCAACCTGTGTTTATTAAGATTGAGCCCTCTGTGATCCAAAGGCTGTATCAAGCCAACACTTCTAGAGGTTTTATTCTACATTCGATTGCAGTCGTAACCGAAAGTGCAGAGCGATACGATCAGTTGAAAATCAAAACAAAGGAACGGAAGAAAACTATCATTATCTCTCACAACTCCGTCGCTTAGGTTCCAGTGAAATCCAATCGAATTGTTGGGGTCGTAACCGGGAGACTGTTAGGAAGGGCCTGAGAACTGGCATTGAAGTTTACCCCAGAAAGGAAGGAAAAGAAAGAGCAATAGTTTTCAATCATGCTTTCATAATATATCGATTGATGAATTGAAAATTTTCCAGATGAGTTCGTTCATTTAACTGCTACAGTTCCCAAAAGACTGAGGAAAGGCAAAAAATGGTTGTACGGGATCAAAGAGGTTGTGATAGATAAAATTACCATCCTTTTGAAACAAGGTCACGAAATTGCCAAATTTAGTGGACTGTCGAGGATAAGGATACCAATGGCTAACTTACATCAAGCTAGTTCTATGATGAAATAGTGCAATTTTGGATTTTCGTTTCCTTTTTTTTCAGTACACGTGTGCGTCTGCGAAAAGAGACAACTGACACCATCTCATGAACAGTTTGGCTTAATAGTGGTGTTGGTGTAACGTTTGTTTCCCTAGAATCATAAAATCCAAAAATCGCGAGCTAAACGTGTAATTAAAGACAGAAAAAGGTAGTTTTGTGTGGCACTCTTCTTCATCGTCTTTTTAAAATGTCCGTTACTTCCTGATTTTATCTCTTCCTATCTGAATTTTAAACCAATCAGAACCAATTTACGCGGCTCAAGTAGAAAAGCCAATGACATCACGAGATGAGATACTACTGATCTTTTTAAGTCAATATTTCGAATTTAACGTAGGATATCTGAAATTTTGGTGAGGGAAGTCATGACCTCGGGAAATAATCCGGAAAGAAATCTGTTCGAATGGTGAGCTAATAATCATCTTGTTAATATGTACATTCATATTTAACTTACAGACTGACCTCTCAAATGGTACACAAAAATTTGGTCATTCTGGTGAAAGCGAGAAAGATAAGAAATACTTTGGGAGGGTATTGCTTTTGCATTCTGTTAGTTCTCATATCTGATCATGAGCTTATTATTTTCTATAAAAATCGTTAACGCCCGTGGGCTGCTGGTTACTTTGTAGAACTGGCGTCATTTTTTAAGTTTTTCACTCGAGCAGAAAGATGTGTGAGGTGAGCGTAAGGAGTAACGCGCGAGAGAAAAAAAAACATGAAGGAAGTCACATTTTCTGTGCTTCTTCTTTTCTGTTACACTTCCTTGATTCGCTCACACTCAACGACGTGGACGTATCGTAACATCGAATATGGCGTCTTTGCCAATATTTACTTCGTAAACAATTCCTGAATTGGCTTTGCCAAAATGAATTCCTCTGAATTTCATTGAAAAAAATTATATTAGAAAAAAGCTAACCAGAGAAGAATATAAGGTTAAACTCATTGCTTTATTAACCTTTAAGCTTTAGGACACGACATTTTCTTCTTCATTATGGCTTCTCGGCTTAAAATTTGGGAGGTTAAACTGCGTCCCCTATTACTGTACCAGGATGTACCCCATAGCTTTGATGTGCTTGTGTCCATTATCAGGGGAGTATGTTGCCTGATTTCCACATGTGTTTGAGTCATCATGATTACCCCCTGTGCCAAAACCAATTCGGGAGTCACAGGAATCACAGTTATTCTCCTGGTTAGCAATGATGCCGATTCTTGCTTTGGAATGACGAGGGTCGCTTCCCACTGCATTGAATCCTTCCTTACTGCAGCGGGTCTGCAATGAGGCCTGCGAACCAATCAATGTCTTCCACTTGTTACGACCCAGTGAGGTGGCGCGATATTTCCCATCAGCGATCAGTGAGTACAGTGAGTTGGCGTGCCTGTTGATGACAATGAACCTGAGCTGATAACCAATCTTCATACCGAGGCAGATCTTGGAGAAGGGTGTGCTCCAGTAGGTTGGTAACTTGGTCTCTTGTGAGTCAAAGCCAGTCCTGCCTCCAAAAAAGTTATAGGCATTTCTGTTTCTCCAGAAATTGGAATCGTAATGGAAGGTTCTCTAAAAAACAATAATTACATTTTTGATTTGCCCTTGTGAATTTCAGTAATAACGAGAGGTTCTTAAAGGAGGGAGGGAGTTAACCTTCGCGCCATTGATCTTCATGGCTAGTGTCCATCCTCCATCCCCACATCCAAAGTTTCCCATGTGACAGTAAACAGGGATCTTTTGTGAACCAAACTTTAGCGGGTATACTTGGCTTCGTCTCGATCTTATGTAAAAAGAGGAAGTAAAAAAAATTTAGTCAGCTTGTACGCAAACGCAGAGTCCTTATATCTACCAAAATGGCATGTGTATACGCATCAAGCAAGTGATTTGGAATCTTGCAATTATAACAGATTGCTCTGTACTTACCTTCCTATGTGGTACTGTTCCTTGCAAGAGGAGAAGGGACCGGCTGTGAGAGAAATAAGACCGCCATTTTAAGATCTGAGCGTGTTGAGAAATCATGAAAACATTAAACGCCGTATCCCAAAATATCATCGGAAAAGTACCTGTAGGCTTCGAAGGCAAAGCGTCCTTTACCATTGCAATAAGATTGTTCACTTTTGTTCCAAGCGTCCTAATGGCTTTGGTGATCTCACCGCAGTGATTAGCGGTACATGACTGTTGTCTGGCGTCGCTTAAAACAGCGAACGGCGCAAGGACACTTGCGATGAAATAAACTGCAAACAGCAAGCGCATCTTAAGAATTAATTGACTTTGGAAAATATTTTCTGTGTTGTTCAGTCTCTGAATTACCGATTATGATGATTTTGCCACGTTATTGTAAGTTATCATCGTCAAACACAACTCGTATTTTCTTGCTCTCACTGAGCGACATCCAATAGACAAGTTCCAAGTTTAAGATTATTTTTAATTTTATTCACTGTGCAGTGTCCTGTGAAGAAATTATCATGGACTTTGAAGATCTGCTCACAATATAGCTGTCTTTCTGATGAAAAATAGTTGGACGGCCGACTTGTGAGCAGTAATACTGCGATTTAATAAATTCAAATCACTTTTATGTTTATCTTTTCGAACTATTTTTGCATGCATGCATGCCCACATATTCAACTAAGACCCTGATTGTTTTGTCTTTGGTCCATATATTTTGATATAAACGAGTAAAACGGTGAAGACGGCGATGGGCTTATCGAGAGCAGTGCTTTTGGCAACCGGAATGTTACATCCTCTAGTTTCGCATTTTCACGGCCAATTAATAAAGTGAGATATTATCAGTTCAACGGAGTCGTATAAAGACATAAAGTGGGTAGGTTTCCAGGGATACTGGGGTTTTGCGTCGGTGGGGTGTTGGTTCATTCAACTGAGTTGATAATCTAAATTTGTAACTGTAAAGACCATCCATAGCTGATATTTTGATCGTTAGCCCTTTGTCAGAGCGAAAGCTCTGATCAAGGGCTACGCTCGAACATTATCAATTCAGTAAACAAAACCAAATTGTCTCGTATAAATTAAAGCTTTACACATAAAGTCAACAAGATATCAGATCTCGCTATGTCGCCATTGTGCCTTGGTTCAACACAAAACATTTGTTGGGCTGATACAGAATTAAAACGTAAAACTGAAACCTTTATTCCGGGACTAACTTGAGGAACAGCTTCAACCCTTAACTCTTCATAAACATAATTTTTACTGACTGAAGGCCTGGAACTAGCTAAGCATGACTCGTGCTCTAACGAAGGGTTAACGCTTCCCCTTTACGGTGGCCAATTTACGTTTTCAACTCAGTCGTTAACACTAAATTACCTGCTATACTCTCCTACAGACACAGCACTACAGTTTCTTTAGAAACTTACCCCCTTTAAGAATTTGCAGGTTGATCAACACTTTAATCAAGATTACTCCATTGTAATTTAATTATTTCAAATATGTTTATTTTACAGTTAAATATGGTTCAATCAACAAGAATAAAATTGTTATTCATGTATAAATACTGATGAATCATATTGTGAAAACTGGAACACTGCATCAAAACCTTCCTCATCATCATTATTTTGATTTAAATTGCTGTTAAATCAAATAAATGTTGCAAAAGAGAGCTTAAACGGTTCAATTATTTCAAAGCCATTTTACTTACAAAATCTATTTTTATAGGTGGTGGTTGATTGACAATTATTGTTCACTCACTGCAGTATAAAAACGTACTAGCTCAATTACAAGTGTTCTCTTGTACCAAACACATCATGGAATATTAGCCAGAATTCTTGGTATATGCTATTGTGCTTCTGCTAACAAGCAATAAGTTAGCTTAAAAGATTCTTTAGTCTTAACCAAACTGTTCCTGTCGATAAAGGCTGGCAAGAATCACTGACTTCCACTTTATTAACCTCCTGAGATTTCAATGCATATAATTTAATGCATAACCTTGACAACCCTGGGTAAACTTTGATGGATTGAGAAAGCTTCCAGTTTGTCAAAAACTCTGCATCACTAAAACTTCTTTCCAAAAGAATTGTAGTGGAAAAAAATTTACATCCAGTGTAGCCATTATAAAACTGTACAGTCAAGCTGGACTTTGATCTGCTCTAGATTTTAGTGAAGGTGGATTTTCTGAAAATAGGTAAATTATGGAGAAGCAGCCAAGAGGAACTTAATCACTCTTCATCACTGGAATGTGAAAGCAAATTCAACTCATCCATGTTAACATGTCCTGGAGCCTGTAAAGACATAAAATGAAAAAGACACTTAAGGTACATTTACACAAATGTTTCACCTTACACAGATTCTTGATTCTCCTTTCTGGAAATGATAAACTAAACCATACCCAGAGAGACAGATTAATTTGAGATGGTAACAGCTTGCATGCTTAATCTCCACAATAATAAATCATTTATACCATAAACACTCTGAAATAATTCAGGTGTAAGTGTTTCTACTATTTAAAGTCCCACAAAACAGCCACAACTGGTTATGTTTTCTTTACCTATTACAGACACTCTCTAGGAGGAAAGTTCCTCTAACCTCACAGACAAACTCTGGGATTCCACATTCAGCCAACTCTATTTTAAGACACTAATGCTGTGCCAATACTCGAACTTTCAAAGTGAGCTCAAAATGCTTTGAAAAATATTTCACAGCTTCTTCCCTTCTCTGAATCAGAGGATAGTCAATCACAGGTTACAGGCACTTCTCAACCAATCATTAATTCAAGACAGCACTAATTTAAAACAGCTTCCTGAGAAAACACCACACAAGTGACAAGGAATGAAGGATTCCATGTTGAAATGCTCTAGAGACACCTTGCAGAAAAAATGTTCAGGCTAAGATGAAACATTATGGCCACACCTCAACCAACTTTGAAAGGCTAGCCCAGGACAGGACAGGGTCGAGAATGGAGATCATTGATGGTCTTTGCTCCAGGAGGAGCTATGGACATAACCATTTAACATTTTGAAACCCATTAAAAACTTAAGTTTGGAAATGAATTACCTTTCCAAAGTAGCGCACTTTCTTTAGCTTTCGTCGACGGCAACATCTGCACAGCACAACCAGGAATGCAATGAGCAGTGCTGCACAGGCTCCTGCACCAATTGGGGTGAGCACATTAACATAGAAAAATTGCACACTCTGTAAAGAAATTATTGAAAATGATTAGTCAATTTAAGAAGCTACTTAAGAAATTATGTCAAGCTAGCTTAAGAGGAAAAGAATACAACAACTCCTATTAATATTGGCTAAGGTAATTAATTATTCAATTACAATAAATACTGAATATTACATAGAAATTATCACTGAAAATACCTTTTCATCATCCAAAGGAGATGGCACTGAAAGAGAAAATAACATAAACATTTCATCAATGATTAAGAAAAAAACAAATTAGAGGGAATGAAGTAATAAGCAACATTAAAAAAGGCAGATGACAACTGTATTGAAACGTCACCACTGAGTCTGTGCCAAAATATAATAGCAGAAACATAGTACATGCACTCTCGTTAATGCAACTAACTCATGTTAAAGTTAAAGTGATCAAATTAGTTCTATAAAGGACTGACTAAAATACTGAACAAACTATCAACATTTTATTACCACAATTGACATTACTGTACATTAAATAAAGGGGGTAAGTTTCTAAAGAAACTGTGGTGCTGTGTCAATGGGAGAGTATAGCAGGTAATTTAGTGTTATATAGCTGACATTTCGAGTGTTAGCCCTTCATCTTGAAATGTTGAAACTTCAGCTTTTTTTACCCTTTACGGTTTCATTTATGTTTTCAACTCAGTTGTTAACACTAAATTACCTGCTATTACTGTACATTGATTTACAAAACAACTAAGTTCATTATTTCAACTGCTCTTGTTACTGTGAATATTGCCATTACAAATATTATAAATACTATTGTTATTGTTGTCATTTCTATTATTTATTATCATCTCCACCATTACAATCATTCTTACAAGTTATATCTGTTTGAATTTCTTCCCTTTTAATTGGTTTAGTTTAAATGTATTTGGACAGCTAACATTGCTTAAAAATTCATTCCTACCAATTACATGGACATGCTGTTGTGGTAGCAACCAAAAAACTTTGGCCGCATATTTAGTGAATCAGACTTCTTGTGAATTGCTACAACCCTTCTGTTAGGGCTAACATTTTAGTAGCAATATGCACAGTTTTTCACTCAAGGGTGGAAATGTAACATATATATTCCTACATGCAGTGCTTATTTGCAATGAATTCAACTTTTATACCTTGTTAGTGTTTGTGCGGTTATCACTACTTAAGTAAATCTCCGAGAGACCAAAGGCTAAAAACGTCTCCAAAACCACATTTTGCTATCTTCCTACTCCTCCACTTGACTATTTTTTACTGATATTGACACTAATATCATTGATATCTGCATTCTGTAGAAAATGCAGTGCAACTCAATATCACAACGAAAATTGTTTGCTTCTACTGTAGATTTCCATTGTAAATGTACTGCATAAACCCGGACTTAAATGTAAAATGAGTTGCAGGTGTCTGCAAAGCTGTCATACAAATTAACATAACTTTTAACCATCATATTTGACAGTCGTTATTTTAGGTAATTCTCCTGTTGTCGTCAATTTTGAAAGATCTGGTGTTCTTGAAACGTTTTCTCATTTAACAACCTCTGAATTAAAAAAAGGAAATTAAAAACTTACACGAATGCTGTTGATCATCTTTCGAAGAAGTTGTTCTTTGCAAGGATTCTTGTGTTGTCGTAGTAGTCTGGACTGTTTTCACTGTTTCCTTGGTTGTGGTGGTCTGAGTTGTGCTTTCTTTTGTGGTAGTTTCCTTAGCGCTTGGAGGAGACGAGGCTTCCTGAGTGGTGATAGATGCTGTCGATCTCTCGGTCGTTGTCTCCTCGGCTGTAGTACTTGGAGTAGTCGATTTTTCGGTAGTTGTCTCTTTCGCTGTAGTGCTTGGAGTAGTTGATTTTTCGGTAGTTGTCTCCTTCGCTGTGGTACTTGGAGTAGTTGATTTTTCGGTAGTTGTCTCTTCCGCTTTAGTTACCGTAGTTGTCGATTGCTGAGTTGCTGTACTCGATATTTCGTTGCCTTCTTGTGCCTTAGTTGTCGGAGATTCCGTTGCGTTTGAGATTGCACCCTCCAAATTTGTTGTAGTTGGTGCAGCAACGGTAGCATTAGCGGAAGCGTTAACGGAGATCGAGCTTGAAGTTGTGGTGACATTCCCTTCTGTGGCGTTTTGCGAAGAGGTGCCATTAACTAGCGATCCATTTGTTAAAGTCCCATTTGGAGTTTGAATCGATGGCGTCGCTGTAGTGGCGTTAATCGAGGATGTTATATTTTCGATAGTGCGATTTCCAGAATTAATTGTGTTGTTTGATGTGATGGAAGATTTTGTTGCATTAGAAACCAGATCAGCGATAAAGGAACTATTTATGACACTTCCATTTCTGCAAACAAGCGATAAATTACCAGCTTTAGCAATCTCACAGTGTTTTGTGAGATTTAACGCTGTCCCGTTGCATGGTAAGAGACGCTGAGTTCTATTTGACTCGCATACATTTGTCAAATTAACTTGGACATAGACCACAGTTCCGTTGCCCTGCAAAGTAGAATTCTGCGTCGTGCAGTTGGAAATTGTGGCATTACACGTAGTCATCGAGTTAGCAGCTGTTGAATTCTGCAGCGAAGAATTATTATTTCTAGATGTCGTGTTCACAGAT